GACTGTACTCCCGAACACTCATGTTACCCTGTCGAAGGGTCAAGAACCTATCAATTCTAGCCCGCTTAAGCTCTGGTGGCAGATAATAACGAAGAAAAGCTTCTGTAAACTCCTGCCATACTGCTGGAGGGGCATCCTCACCTTTGGACAATTCCCAAGACTCGTACCAATTAACTGCAACATCTCGGAGTCTATAGGAAGCTAGCTCAACTAACTCAGTCGTAGTGGCCTTCATTACCCTTAATGTCCTCTATACTCTATCAATAAATACCTAAGGGTCCTCATTCGGATCTACCCCAGTGAATATCGGAGGGTCTAAATTAATGAAGTCATGAACCCTCGCACTAATGGACCTATCTGCATGATCAATACCTATTTTCAGACGTCGAGCCTGCGGACTACTAATCGGATTAATAGTTGAATAATATCTCTCATCTCCTGCCCCAGTGCATCTGGCTGAGGTGTTGAATGTACAAAGGCGGGCGCTAGAGCTGGTGCCCTTTGGAGCTCTTCTAGGAAGGGTGGGGTATATGAAGTCTGAGATGGAACCTCGCCATGAGACTCTCCCCGAGCCCTGGTAACTCGTGGCGCTCGACTAGTTGTCTCACCAGGCACTGACTTTTCCTTCTGGGCGGTCGTACTCTTTGGAGGCATCGCTGAAAATATAACATATCGTTAGGAACATGAATTCTTGTATCGCACGATCTGAGATAAAAAGAGAGGATAACATCCTATATATCCTGTAGCCTTCTGTCTATAAGTGTGGTGCACAACACACCCATAAACAAGACTCTACTAGACACGGTCTGTAGACAACCCTAGGATAGAACGGCTTTGATACCACTTTTGTCACGACCCAAACCGATGGGCCGCGACGGGTGCCCGAGTCCTACCTGTTAAACACCCCTAAGCATGCGTCTAAGATATAAATTTGAATAACATCTGCTGAATTATGAAAATAATGTACATGAAGGAAATCTGCCCAAAAAAACATACAGTCATATACGTGCAACTTACGTAGGGCGAGTCGACAATGCTGCTATAGACAACTATACATCTCGAAACTGGAAGCCAGCAAGGCCACATACTATCCAACTAGACATATTGTCTACAGACCTCTAATAGAAATATAACTGTACAAAGACGAGACTGAGCCACGTCATACCCATATANATGAAATGCGGGCCCCGTGAAATAGGGCATCAGTACGAAAAATGTACTGAGTATTTAAGGCATGAAAATTGGTATGTAAAAGACATAGATGAAACATGGAATAAAGAAACACATCTTTAAATCTGAATAACTTTGTAAATTCTGAAACATTTATAATGTCATACACGTGCGTATAAATGTCATGCCATGCATAAGTATAGGTGTACATAATATCATCAAGCCATTGAGGGCATCCCATCATATCATCTCGGCCACTGTGGGCAACATCATCAACATATACCAACTGATCAGGTGGTGGTGCGTATATAACGCCGTAACATTTTCTCATATCCCATATACATATATTTACATATATACGTGTATATAACTCCATCTGGTCATGGGCCAATGCACATGTATAAATGGGTGAAATGCATGAAAAATACGTAAAAATCTCAATATTCCTTCCGAATAAACTTTTTTAACTACTTATTATTCTGAGACCCATGAACAGAAGATAATAATAATTCACATGGGGAATAAAAAATATAGACACCCCTAGTATTTCTATGAATAGAGTAATTTATGGAAACTGTGCGTTTGCCCGTTTCTTCAGTATAATTTGGACCATGCCAAAAGAAAGAAGGGATGACCTTAACATACCTGGAGTAGGAAAAACTCCATATAATATCCCGTTGAAAATCTTCATGGATTGAACTTAGAACCCCAAAAATTAGATTAAGCTTCTGCGTTTTGAAATTGTTGAATGAGATTAGCTTCTGTTCTTTTTTGAATTTCTTGAATCGAACTTAGCTTCTGTTTCTTTAAACAAATTGAGTCCTTATACTTTGAAGACTTTGGACTATGAAAATGCAATATCCTTACCTTTGGATTTTTGATGTTTTGGTCTCATTTTGTCCAAATGAATGGATAATACCCTTTTAGTTGCTAAATCCCATTAATTCTTAGGTAGCCACATAGGGCAATATAAATGCTTAGTCACTTCCAATATTTGTGGCTTCTTGCCACGTTTTAGGGGAATAATTTATAAATTTTTATCCACTTATTAGTTAATTGGTAATATCCCGTTAACCGGTAATTAATCAATTACCCGTATAATTAAGAATTATCTCAAATTATCTAAAAATACTACTCATTTTTAATATTATCACGACCATATGGTACCTTGTATGGTACTAGTCCATAATTATCGGGTAGTATCGCTCGACCCGTACTTTATCCCAAATTGGTCATTTTCAACGAAATCGTTTTCTTTAATTCGTGTACCCTTTTATCCTTCATGACACTTATTTCTCGCTTATTATAATTAACATAACTACACTAACCTCAAGATAATCTCATCCCCGAGACTACGTCGATTAACTAAAGACGAAACTTTTAACGTACGAAAACACGAGATGTAACAACCATAATTCATGGTTCCTCTCAAATATTTCATTAGTCTATCTAATGTAGACCAATACTCTCTGTTGGGTTATGAGTATATCTACTCAGTCTACACACAATATATGCTATATTAGGCCTTGTAAAATTCATTAAATGCATCAGACTCCCAATAATCTGAGCATATTTAGACTGAGCAACTAGGTCACCATTATTCTTTTTCAACTAAGAGTTAGCATCAAAAGGAGTGCTCACTGTTTTGACATTAAAATATTCAAACTTCTTAAGAAGTCTCTCAACATAATATTTTTGTGATAATATTATGCAATCTTCACTCCTTATAACTTTGACTCTCAATATCATATTTACTTCACTCAGATCTTTTATATCAAAATTAGAAGACAAAAATAATTTAGTACTTTGCACAATATTTAAACTTGTACCAAATATAAGCATGTCATCAACATATAGATATATTATCACATAATCATTGTCTACCACTTTAGTATAAATACACTTATCCACCTAATTGAGGAAAAACCGTCTCCCAGTAAGACTTGTTCAATTTCTCATACCACTGCTTAGGATCTTGTTTAAGGCCATAAAGAGATTTAATTAATTTACAAACTTTATTTTCTTGTCCAGGAATGATACAGCCTTCAGGTTGAACCATAGAAATTTCTTCTTCTAAATCACCATTTAGAAAAGTAGTTTTGACATCCATTTGTTGGATAAAAAGCTTACGGATTGAAGCTAATGCAATTAAAATTCGAATAGAAGAAATTCTAGTCACTGGTGCAAATGTATCAAAATAATCCATATTTTATTTTTGCCAAAAATCCTTTTGCTACTAACCGAGCTTTATATTTATCTCAAATTTCTTTTTGAAAATTCATTTACAACCAATAGGCTTTGCACCAAGAGGTAAATCAGTTAAAATCCATGTATTATTTTTCAAAATAGAATCGATTTCAACTTTTATTGCCTCTTTCCAATATTTAGCATCTGACGAAGATATAGCTTCAAAATAATTTGATGGTTGATTATTAACAAGAAAAGTTTGAAAATCATTTCTATAAGAAAAATATTCTTTCCTAGGCCTTTTGCTCCTTCTCAATTCCTCATTAGAGGTAATTTCACTATTTCTTTTATATGAGACATTTTATCAGACAATGGATACATATAGTCAAAGAACTCAACATTTTTTATCTCAATTATAGTATTGTAATCAAGCACATCACTTTTTAAAACAAGAAATCTATATGTAGCACTATGTTCAGCATATTCAATAAGCATGCAATCAGTAGTTTTAGAACCTATTTTCCTCTTTTTAGGTTCAGGCAAAAGAACTTTAGCAAGGCACCCCCATACTTTTAAATATTTCAAGTGAGGTTTATAATCTTTCCATAATTCATAAGAAGTTTTGCCGGTTCTTCTATGCGGTATTCTATTTTGTAAGTGATATGCAGATAAAATAACTTCACCTCACAAATTATCAGGAGGATTAGAACTAACTAACATAGAGTTCATAATCTCTTTCAATGTTCTATTTTTCCTTTCAACTACTTCATTTGATTCAGGTAAATAAGGCGGAGTTACTTCATGAATTATTCCATTCTTTTCACAAAAATCATTTAAAGATAAATATTCTCCACTTCTATCAGATCTAATTCTCTTGATTTTTCTACTAAGTTGATTTTCAACCTCAGTTTTATAAGAAATAAAAGCGTCATATTTATTTCTAGGCAAATACAACTTAGTATATCTAGAAAAATCATCAATAAAAGTCACATAATATCTTTTACCACCTCTAGTCATAGTCTGTTTTAAGTTGCCTAAATCAGTATGAATCAAGGATAATAGTTTAGCTTCTCTATTTACAGAAAAATAAGTCTTTCTAGTACTTTTAGCTTCAGCACATATTTCACACTTGTTAATATTATTTGAGTCTAAATCAGATATTAATCCTAGCGACTGCATTTTGTTTATATACGCGATATTAACATGTCCTAATCTAGCATGCCACAAAGAAATTGACTCAACTATATAAGCAGAAGAAGATGCATTTTTATTGCTAGTATCGAAAATATTAAGCACAAATAAACCATGGTTACAATATTCATTGCCCTCAAAAATATCATTTTTGGTCAATATGACCTCATTATTTTTAAATGAAACCTTCACTCCAACTTTTCCTAATAACCCCACAGAAACCAAACTGGTTTGGATATTATGAACATGCAATACATCACTCAGTTGTCACAATCCAATTTAGGATCGTGATCGACGCTTCAGAGCAAGTGCTCCCAAATAAGCCTTATCGGTATTTTATAGAAAAACGGACAGAGTTTTCCCAATTTTTGAACTATTCAAAAAAATTTCTGTCTCATGAACAAGTAACACCCAACCAATATTCACCTAAATCAATCAAAAACTTCATCAACTAACCACAAACAATTCTCCACCACTATTAATCAACTATTTGCAGCACAATAATATTAAATCCATCTCTAAAATATGATAAGAAAGTATAATACTAGTCACATGTCTAAATAATGAACCAATACTCACGATACTAATGAAAATGACCAACGGAGCGACTCTAAGAGTTTTACAGAAAATGCCTGTAACAAATAAATAAAAAATTTGCCCACGTGAATAAATGTGGGGCTCACCAAGAACTATCAAATTGTGCGCTCTAACTAACGAGATCCTGCTTGCGTCAACTGATGTCTCTGGAAAAAAAATAGCGAGAAGTGAGTCGCTAGCTCACTGAGTAATAACACTTACCCACAACCATTTTTAATTAGGGACAAGTCAGAAAATATGCTAGTATATCAAACATAAAATATCATAAGAATGCCCTTTTAAAAACAATAAACAATTTTCAGTCTCATCATGTTTTTCATGTAATATAATTCAATTGATAATTCAGTAATAAACTTGATGAACACTGTGTCATATCAAATCTTTGTGTTTGGGAGGTTTACAAGAAAAGATCATGTAATCTATATTACTGTGTGGACCCCTTCATAAAAGAAGTCAAATATAACTGTAGGTCCTTACTCGAGGGAAAACTATAACTGTATACTAGTTATACCTTCACACTAGCGAGGGGTGTAACTGTAATCGGTAATCTGTAAATACAAGGTGCACCAGGTCTTACGAACCCGCTGTTAGCTACGGGATCCTTCAAAGTCTCCTCCCATTTATACTCTTTCTTGTAAATAGTAAATACTCGTACAAAAGCATTTTCAAAATAATAAAGGGCATATCATTCCTTATCAAATCTTGTAATTTTATTTCGGTAATAGTAATCATGTCTCAAGTAACAGTAAAACATGTCTAGTAACAATTAATACTTCAAATAACTGTAACATCTCAAGTAACGGTAAAACATATCTAGTAACGGTGAAAATATTTAGATTAATCGGTAAACATCTCAAGTAAACTGTTCGGTATTATATCAAGTAAAGGACTTGTCCCACATGCAATTTCAAAGCATCGGTAATACATTTATTTTGAAAATCATATATAAACCATGCAGGTTATGAAAACACAAATTATGGTAAGATTACTACTCACAATACTCGTATCGAAATACCAAACGCGTCACCTCGAGCACTTCGTTCGATTTCTTCCACTACCTATATTATTACATAACCAATAGACAAATCAACATTTTGAACTACCTGTAAAGCCGAATCAATCCTGTGAAGACAAGGGTATTGTTCTTATATTTGGACTAATAGTATTATATGTAGAGGACCCAAAAGAAACTGATTTGTTAGACCAAAATAGCTAACAATACCCTTGTCTTCACTTGGTGTTTCACAAGCATTCATAATTTCTACACCAAAGTGCTTGCTAATGGACTTATAGAATCTTCATTCATCCAATAGAAAATTCATAACCGTGTTATCTTGAAAATACCTTAAATTCCTTTTTCCTTGTTTCTACCCTTAGTAAAATAATAATTAGTAATAGGATAAGTATTGGGTCAAGGAAGAGAATCTCAAAGAAATTTACCAAGGAAATAGATATTTCATATTACCTTCGTTCTTCTACACAGAAGGTAACTCAAGAATGACCTTGTGGATTTCTCAAATCTACAGTCACTTTAATTGGCTTCCAGTTGTGAGAAGCTAACAGCTTCTATGTTTGCTCTTCGTCTGCCTCACCTATCTCTCTCAAAAAAAAATTCTTTCCTCATGGTGTTAGTTTGCGTCGAAGATATGTGCTTCGTTCCCAATCCCTAATTTTTCGATCATTGTGTTTGTAGAGAATATAATGTCTCTAAGTCTCTTGTTGGTTGGGTTACGATTCCTTTATCGTAAGTGTCGTTTCTTTTTTTTTTCTTTTAATTTGCTCATGACTAATATGCCCTCAATTAGTCTGGGGTATCTTTTATCACCTCTAGTCATAGTCTGCTTTAAGTCGCCTAAATCAGTATGAATCAAGGATAATAGTTTAGTTTCTCTATATACAGAAAAGCAAATCTTTCTAGTACTTTTAGCTTCAACACATATTTCACACTTGTTAATATTATTTGAGTCTAAATCAGATATTAATCCTAGCGACTGCATTTTTTTATATACGCGACATTAACATGTCCTAATCTAGAATGCCACAAAGAAATTGACTCAACCATATAAGCAGAAGAAGATGCATTTTTATTGCTAGTATCGAAAATATTAAGCACAAATAAACCATGGTTACAATATTCATTGCCCGTAAAAATATCATTTTTGGTCAATACGACCTCATTATTTTCAAATGAAACCTTCACTCTAACTTTTTCTAATAACCCCACAAAAACCATATTGGTTTGGATATTATGAACATGCAATACATCACTCAATGCTAGAGTTTTACCAGGTGTGAGTTTGAGAAGAATTTTTCCTTTCCCAAGAACACGAGTTGTTCTTGAGTCACCAAGATAAATAGTTTCTTCTCCTTCCTCAACTTGTGTGTAAGATAAAAATTCATTTTTGTTTGCACAAATGTGCTTAATAGCACCAGAGTCTATCACCCAATCTCTCACAGTGGCCACATTATTTATTTGGAAAATGACCACAACAACTATATTATCCGCTTTAGTCAAATTTAATTTTAACTTAGTGAGATTATCATTTATCCCAACTCTTCTCTTGCATTGAGGTGCATTTTTGTTGAAGGTTTTAATTTTAGCATTGGATATATAACCATGTCTATTTACATACATGTGTTTTGACATTAGTGTATGCCAAAGTTGCGGATGCAATAATGTATTTGCAACACCATGGATATCTGGTGAGACATCTAGAACAATAGCAGCAGAGACAATACCAAAATTGGTAGCAACATCAAAAAAATTCGTAGTAGTATTACTTGCCATAGTTTCTTAGATTGTGGGAAAATGACACCGAAAAATAACGATAATAATACTGCAATAATATTATTTGTAAGCGAAAACACACGGATTTGCTTGAGTCGTGCTAGGCACTATCCTAAAAAACTATTTCAGCAATGTGAAATGTTTTCTCAGAATTAACAAGCCTATCTCTATTTATTTATAGGATACATGAATCAACAAAATATTAATATAAAACTTTCTAATATAAAAGTATTTTTTGTCAAAGTGGATTTCTAGAGAAATTATTTTATGAATGTAGTAGTTTGTATTTGGTCAATTAATTTAAAATACCTTTTTTAGTATTAGAATATTTTTTGTCAAATCTATCCAAAAAGTAATTTTCAGTGTTAAATTATGAATAGAAACATATAAAAATTCAATTTACATGTTGTATAAATAAATGATTTACATTTTTTGAGTGATGTGCCACTTTATTATTCTAAAGATCGCGTGCAAGAAATAGGAGAAGAGACGCCGTAGAAAAAATGAAGCGAATACAGTTATATTTATATTCTTAGTAAAATTTCTATTGTCTTGAAAAAAAATAATTTTTTGCTTTTACTTCCAAATATAACCTACAAAACATATGCTTCCTCATCATAATAGAAAAATTATATTTGCTACTATTCAAAATCACTTATTTAATCCTAGAATTTTGTCCACTTACATCAACTCTTTAAAATAAATGTTCTTTTAATAAGCGTTTTTAATTTCCCTGCCAAACAATGTACAATTAGCGGGTAATTATGGTTAATCTAATAACATAAGGATCAAAAGCAAAATAAGCTAGTAATACAGGGACTAAAGATACTATTCGCCCTACTATGAAACAACGGAAGAGGGAAAAGTGAGTTGAAGTAAAGAGATAGAAGAAGGTTTAGCAGAAAAGGAACGGAAGATTCACAGAAATGGCCCCGCAAAGGACTGGTCTTAGCTGAATATTCTAACAATAATCAATCATTAACTTTTATTTTTCACCGCCAGATAAGAATTTTAAACTTAAAAAAATTGAAAAATTATGTCCATCAAGTTAAAAGATGAAATATTTTTCTAAGATGAGTTAAAACGAAACATTCCGCCAAAATCAGGCCCTTTGGGGACACGCCCAAACTTTTGAAGGAAACTTTCTTCGTTCAAAAGTTTGCTTGTGTCAACCAAGCTTTCTTGTGTCAAACATTCAAAAAATTTTAGGTACTTTCTTCGTGGTCCTTGAAAAATGAATTGGTGGGCACAAAATAGAAAGTACCTAAAATTTTTTGAATGTTTGACACAAGCAAAGCTTGGTTGTAAACTACTCCCTCCGATCCATAATAAGATCCATAATAAGGGACTAATTTAATTTTTTTATTTTAATCTAAAATAAGTATCTATTTATATAATCAATAAAAAATTTAATTTATTTTTTCAACATTACTCTTATGTACGTATCCCTAAAAATTCATTTACTCCTCACATTTGAAAAGAGAAGTAAGTGTTACTATAACTATGCTGCAATATTTAATTAATGGTAGTTTAGTTAAACTAATTATTTTTATCTAGAATTTAGTATTTTTTTAATGAATATACCAAAAGCAAATTGATTATTTATTATGGACCGGAGAGTATCCAAAAGTGAGAATTTGATCATTGAAAAGCCATATTTTTCGTCGGTTGTCCCGAAGGAGCATTAAAAAGTCATAATGGAATGCTACTCTGGCGGCTAGCCCGCAGCCTAAAAAACACATTGGTTTTGCATTATTCACCAATTTTTTTAAATATCAGACGATTTGTTTGGCTGAAAAAAGGAAATTGAACAAGAATTAGTAAAATTGGTTTTTGTAAATGCAATTTTTTCCTTACAAATTCCTTTTTTTTTTGCTAGAGATTAATTTTGATCCAAACTTAATATTTGTCCTAAGACATTTATTTGACATATATAAATTATTAAGTTAGAACTCAATAATTTCAAAGAACTAGAATCTAAAACCTATAAATTTAAAATTCTGGCTTTGCATTTGCTTCTCGATCAACTAAGTATTCTTAAATAAGCTGCTTGATATATAAAATTCCAATGACAAAATTTGTACACTCAAAAAGAATCTAATTGTTGTTTTTGATTAGCTATAAAATTTAAGCTTCCATTTTATTGCGTTACTATTACCTTTATACGCTTTAATTTTGATTTTAAGATAATACTAAAATGATAGTTCTCTTCAGCTTATTATATTTGCCTAGTGTGGCTCTTCAGCTTAGTATTATTTGCCTTTTCACGCCTTCAATATTTGAAGTCAAAGCCTACCTCGGTTGAATATTATTTTCTCTTCCTTTTTTAGCAAACAAAATAAAAATAAAGAACCTTTCGCCAACCATACAGCACTCCACTTTTCTAGCAGCAGAGTTCTTTTTCCATCCACTTCCCACCTTGGGATCTATTTCCTCTCTCTATTTCTCCCTAGGTAAAAGGTAACCCTCCCTTTTCTTAATCTTCATTTCCAGAATCTGTTATTCAATGATTTTATCAGTGATTTAATCTGCTTTCACGATCTTATTTGAATTCATTGGTGATTAATTTTCGACCTTTGGCTGATTTTTATGGAACAATTCCTCTTCTATGTCCTCGTTTTGGAAATGCAAGTGTGTGTCGAATTTTCACGCGATATTTTTTGAAAATTGACGATTTTGTTTCGTTTTACTCTTTTTTTTTGGGTGATAAATAATTAGGAATTGTGGTCATAATATGGCTTTTTTATAGCACTAATTAAACTTTATTTGCAGTTAATTTGTTGATTTTTGCGAGCCATGGTGTTCTATCGCGGCGTTTCTCTGCTGTCAAAGCTGCGTTCTCGAGCGGTAAGTTCAGTTAATGATTTTAATTTACCTTTTTAATTCCTTTTGCTGAAGTGCGTATATTCCTGACTTAACATCCAATTAATTATTGAATTATAGGTCCAACAGACAAATCTTAGCAACTCTGTGCGCTGGCTTCAAGTCCAAACCTCTTCTGGTCTTGTAAGTTCTAACGTCTCTCTGTCAATATATGCATCTCCTTGTATACACATATTTCTCCGTGATTAATAAGCTTGTGGATCAACCAATCATTTGCCTGCACTTCAATCCGTGGCTAGCTGGCATCGGCTATATAAAAGTTCTCATAATTAAATAAAACATAACCAATCATTGTTGTGTTGGGGCATCTTCATATCCAAAAGACATTATTAGTTGACATTTGTATGAATATATGATGTACATACTTGGAATTGAGGACATTGAGAGGGAACCAGAGAAAATTAAGTAGAATACTTATCACTTGTAATAAGAGATGGTGGGAGAATGGTTTGGGAAAAACTGAGATTGCCATTTTAGGTGATGCCTTATGGTAAATATTGAGCTGTCTATTGCAGGTGCATCATCTTTCATTTCCTTTTCCTTTCTGTTCTTGATGTTAAATTACGTACACAATGTATTTTAAGAATTAGTGTCATAATATCTGAGGAAATATATCGATCATTTAATCTGAGGAAATATATCATAAGTTAACTAACTGCTTTTTCCCTTTTGTTTTAAAATTTCTGGATTTTGATGACCATTACCTCAGGATGAGAAGCTGGTTTGAGTTTGTGATAGTGTTTTTAAATTTATTTCCCTCCTTTCCATTTAAGCACATGGGCTTCTAGCTTATATAACATCCTTTATGGAAATAGAGATTTTGCAATGAAGACACTGCAGAAACACTATGAAGGCGTTAGGATCTGATATATTGTGAACAAATTGACTACCAAGATAATGAAATTACTGGTTCTTCTTAGTGTTTGGAGTGAATGGCCTGCTTGGGTCAAGTTAGTCTGCCACTTGAGTAGTTGTGTAAGCAAATTAATTTAGAAGTTGCATTTGATGTAATAAGCTAAATTATATGTTTGGCCAACTACTTTTCTTCGAACTCTTGAAGGCGACGGCTCATGAGTGGTTATAAATTGTAATGTAGTTATAGGCCCTCCAAGTGTAGCAATTTTTTTGTCTCGGAACTTTGGAAGTCACCTGATATTATTGTTGCAAATTGACTAGTCCACTAAAGCTTATATCTCTATGTGCATTACTGTTACTATATATTGTGCTATCAGATTGCTAGTATTTATTGTTATGCCACAGAGGAGAAATAGACGAGAAGGAGAGTCATTAGTGTTTAAAACCTGGGCTAATAGCCATTGTATGGTTGATTGCTTACCTTCTTTCTTTCCGACTTTGATTTGTAATGTCCAGTAAATTTCCGCCTGAACCTCTGCTGCCATTGTTTGCTATTTTGTCTTTCCACGCTAGAGGACAAATTAATGAGGCAGAAGAGTATATAAATTCTATCTAATTAGAAGTACTGTGGTGAACTTGAAATGATAAATGCAAAATGTTTTACCCTTCATCTTTTAATTACTTCTTCTCGCACTTGGTTCTTAATGTCTGCATAATGGTCATATTAATAAATTTATTTGACATAGGATCTGCGTTCTGAGCTGCAAGAATTGATTCCAGAACAACAGGTATATCTAGATTCATTTTCTTTTAGTTACCTTTGATTGCAGAGTTTAAGTTTCATATATACTGAGGCACTATTTACTTCACATTTTCTTTATGAAATTAATTTATTGGTTATGTTTTTTCTCAATTATACGGGACAATGTTTTCTCTATAACATGGTTCTTTCTCCCTTTGACCAATGAAAATTACTTTACATAGAGAAAAAGAAGAGGTCATGTTTGTATGCACTAACAGGGGCTTTCATAAAGTTGTGAGGTCTATCATGTGATATATGTATATGATATATCCATGTTTATGATTTCCTGATTCTCTAATTCTTGTAATTATGTTCGTTTTCATTACAGGATCGCCTAAAGAAGCTCAAGTCAGAGCATGGAAAGGTTCAATTGGGAAACATCACAGTTGATATGGTAAATAGCTGTTTAAGTTAATTATAAGTTTGGAATAAAATGAATGATATAAGTCTGAATTGACATTTGTTGTTCAATTTGATAGGTTCTTGGTGGAATGAGAGGAATGACAGGATTACTGTGGGAAACCTCATTACTTGACCCCGATGAGGTTACATTCTACCTAATATTTATCCGATGGTGAATGCAAGTAAATCGCAAAAACATATTGATTTCGGTTGATTGCTTCTGCCCCACTCATTACCTTTGCTCTATTCTCTCAGGGAATTCGCTTTCGGGGCTTGTCTATACCTGAATGCCAAAAGGTATTACCTGCAGCAAAGCCTGGGGGAGAGCCCTTGCCTGAAGGTCTTCTCTGGCTTCTTTTAACAGGAAAGGTGAGCTCTTAAGTGCTTAATTTATCATATCACCAGTGGAATTTGAAATAGAATTCACTATAATTGCTTCAATATGGCTATTATTGTCACTGAGTTCGAGTATGAATTAGTAAGGGCAGTTCAAAGATTCTCTGTTGAAGGGCTCTTAAGCCCTGGGTTTGGATTAGATGCCCTTTTTCTGCAGGTAGTTAGATTTCTTTTCTCATTTATACCAATCCGGACCTTCTCTAAGCATAGGATACTGCAAGTAGTGTGCACAACTGAATGTGATTCGTCCTAGAGAAATTGTTATTGGTGGCCTTGAGGTGGTTATAAATGCTTGGATTTTCTATAAAAATGCTTAGATTTCAAGACTATAATTATTTCTTTTTCTTACTCTTGTGAAGGTGCCATCAAAAGAGCAAGTGGATTCATTGTCTCAGGAATTGCGAAGTCGTGCTACTGTCCCCGGTACTTTAGCTTGTCTATTGTATTTTTCCTGTTCATCCCTTTATTGAATGCTGTTGCTGTTAGTTTGTGAGCTTCTACGATAGAGTTATAAATCCTTAAATTTGAACCTTTTTATTATCAATCAGTTGCATAATATTCATTCATCAGCACCACTTGATGTTTTTGTTTTTCTGAAGTTGTATCAGTAACTTTATTGCTGCAGATCATGTATACAAAACTATTGATGCCTTACCAGTCACAGCTCACCCAATGACTCAGTTTACTACTGGAGTCATGGCTCTTCAGGTGAAATTTGAACCATTTTATTCTCTTTGTTTCCGCTTTTAGTAATTTCCTAATTATCATGTATGCACGTAGATCCTTTGATTTGAGTCTGACGTTGCTGATACCAATTATTTCGTTGCTTGTCCGTAATTTGGTGATATCATGCATGTGCACTGATCCTGATTTAATTTGAGCTTGACGTTGTTGATCTTCAGAACAGACTATTTGGGTGCTTCTCAGCCAAATACTGTGATATAGGGAGTGTGAAGTTGGTTAACCTCCTCTTCAAATATTTGGAAGAAAAACTTTAACTTGATGCCTGCGCCGATTGGTTCTGTGAACTTGGAATCCGTAAAGACTCTTCATCTGTTCTTAGGTTCTCGCTAACTTGTCGTGTAATCAAGGACAGCTTGTCCTTTCTTCCTTTGGTATTCTTCCACCTGTGAAGAGCGAAGAATTTATCTTTTTTCTACTTTATGTTTAGTGTATAAAAGATATGTAGCATCATGAAGCAGCTCTGAGTCGTGGAAATTCGTATTCTACTGTTCTTATTGTTTGTGGATCTTTGAATACCTTGGAATTAAAAGATGAAAGAAGGAACCTCATCTGTGATTAACTCGTGAAAGTGGTGGTTTCGTTTGTTGCAGTCTTATTAGGAGATTTCAACCCTCATTTCTGTTCTCTCTGCAGGTTCAAAGTGAATTTCAAAAGGCATATGAGAAAGGGATTCACAAATCAAAGTGAGCCTCGTCAAAGCCATCTCTTGAAGCCGATTATTCGTTTTCCATGAAAACACTAACACTATTGTATCTTTAGGTTATGGGAACCGACATATGAGGATTCCATGAGTTTGATTGCTCAAGTTCCACTTGTTGCTGCTTATGTTTATCGCAGGTCAGATTATTGTATGGCAACCAGTTTTCATTTTTCTATTCTCTTTTGTCCCTCATTTGTGTTGCACTTAGGAGGAGATGACTTTCTAATCTGTTTTCTCTCAGCTTAATAGCTCTTGGTTCTGAGGTTTTAATGTTTACACGAAAAGTTAGCCCGTGAAATTATGTGCAAACTGACCCTTTGTTTACACTGTGAAGGATGTACAAGAACGGCAACACTATACCTAAGGATGACTCACTGGATTATGGTGCAAATTTTGCTCACATGCTTGGTTTCAGTAGCTCTGACATGCATGAGCTTATGAAGCTCTATGTCACGATACACAGGTTAATTTGATATCTGGATTATGATAACTACTTTATGATGCTTGCATAAGAGTATTTAAAGTCTATCCTGGGAATCAGGATTTCTGGTTGCGTCTATGTCTATGTATCAGTTGGCACTGATTTCATTTGTGTTGCAGTGATCATGAAGGTGGTAACGTCAGTGCTCACACAGGTCACTTGGTGCGTACTTCATTCCGTGTTTATGGACAAACTAACTGTTTACTAGTGGTTTAAGTCTTGATATGGGATTTTTTGTCAAATGGGATTATACATATACAATATGTTAAGCCTCGTTACGAAGCAATGAAGTTTCATAAGTCAGCATTCTTTTTATCAACTTTTTCAGTAGCACTAATTGCACTTAAATTCAGGTTGCTAGTGCTTTGTCAGACCCTTACCTCTCCTTCGCTGCTGCTTTGAATGGTTTAGCTGGACCACTTCATGGTTTAGCCAATCAGGTGCTTTGTCTGCTTTATAACTGTTGTTTCTTTCAATACTGCTGTGAATGCACACTAGGTTTTTCTCTGGCTGAAATTTGCTATGGCTATTGCCATACGCGTATCTAATAATTATCCCCATTGCCCAACAAAATGAAGTGGGGTGTGGTTTAACAACAGCAACTACTACTACTACTACTACTACGCCTCAGTTCCAAACAAAGTTGGGGCAGCGATATGAATCCTCACTTCTTTCTTTAAGCTCAAACTCATATCATCATCATTGCCAAAATAGAATAATAGTAGTGAAAATACAACAACAACAACAACAACAACGACCCAGTGTAATCCCACAAGTGGGGTCTGGGGAGGGTAATATGTACGCAGACCTTACCCCTACCCCGAAGGGTAGAGAGACTGTTTCCAGGAGACCCTCGGCTCAAAAAAGCAATAGGAGATGATATATTAGTACCATAAAAATGCGTGATAAAAATAACCACAATATACAAGAGACATGAAATATGAAATACGAAATACGAAATACGAAATACGAAATACAAAATACGAAATACGAAATAGATGGCTGGTATAGTACAACTAGAAGGTAGAAGGTAGAAGGTAAAGCCCTGCATCAATAGACGACCAATGACATAGTAGTGAAAATAAGTTTTATATATACATATATATATATTATAGTAATAATAATTAGAAAAATAGTAATATTTAAAGCTTATTCCTAACTAGTAAGTGGTGTGTGGTTTAAGATGGAAAAATATGACGTTAAATTCCAATGAGGAGGAAAACAAAGATTCTAGTTACTAGATGAACAAGCTCTTTTCTCTAACTGATATTCTTCATAACTGGCATGCAATGGTTGGAGCTACACTGTATGTCTCTATTTATATTTTTCAAACTATAATATTAACAGAAAAGCCAAAATAGACTCTATAATTGATGGACTGGTCTCTGGTTATCTGGCCAGCTGTTCAGTAAATTTCTTCACTCCTCCAAATAAATTCCAACTGTTCATCATATTGTCCCATATTTAATAAGTATGCTTTATTATCCCCTCCCATTTAAAGACTGTTTTTTAACTATGTTACTCAATCACTTAAAATTTCACTATCTCCAGATGGTATGCCTTTTTGTCTAGTTCTATTAAATTCAGAGAATTCCAGTAAGCAGCGGTTTGCTTAGCTATGTTTTTATAGTGTGTGTGATTTATTTTACCTGCATTCTGCATCTGTTGGATGATTACAATCTTGACCCAGCTGCCACTTTCTGCTTTGCCATCAGGAAGTTTTGCTATGGATCAAATCTGTTGTAGAGGAGTGTGGGGAGAACATTTCCAAAGAGCAGTTGAAAGACTACGTCTGGAAAACATTGAAAAGTGGCAAGGTAGTATATGAACCTCTGCATAATACTACTATAGACTGAGCTAGTTTTATTTTTCAACTCACTGATTGGAGCTCACCTTAGATCAAAAGTTTGACTGCCTTGACATGTTATTGAGGTTCAAAAAAGTTAATTCTCCCTTCAGCATATTTTTTTATGTCATACAGTATTCAAAAATAAATGTTTATCATATTCTATTTTTCTCATTGACTGCTCTTCTAATCATGGTTACTGAACTTTACTTTTCAAACGAGATTTGGTAGTTGGCCTTGTCCCAAACAAAACTTTCCTTTTAGCTTTGATTCATCGGATCTTTAATGTGTTGAGCTTTCAAAAGGTGTTCTCTCTCTCTCTCTCTNGGAGTTCTGCGCAAGACTGATCCAAGATACACATGCCAGAGAGAGTTCGCTTTGAAGCATTTGCCTGAAGATCCACTGTTTCAACTGGTTAGTACTTAGAAACCTGAAGCTGTAAATTAATGAATTGCTCTTCAATTCAATGTGTTTGATCTTCCCATTGTGTTCTTTTGGCTTTCATTCTTGCAGGTTGCAAAACTCTACGAAGTTGTTCCTCCAATTCTTACAGAACTTGGCAAAGTAAATCTTTCATCTACATTGTTACTGAAATTGCTTCAGCCTTTAATTGTAGTTTAGCATGATTGGTTGTACACTGCTTTTTCTTTGTTTTTTTTTTGGTTCGGGGAAGGAAGAGCATTCAAGTTTTGATAATAACCCAAAAGCACCAGTAAGGTGATTGACGTAAAATTTTGGAAGAACTTAAATATGGACTAATATTTTGGAGGAATTTAAATATTTAGGTTGTTAGGTAATGATAACTTCTTTCGCGTGTCTGAAAATGGGATTGAGTGAGGTAGCAGTATCTTTATCCATTGTATGTAAGAATTTCCCTTTATCTCACTAGTCATTGTTTCACTCAGAAGCTTTGTATCTTTTATCAGATTTTTCCTCTGCCTTCCTGTTTCATATGAAACTTCAATAAAATCACGTAATCAGATTTGTCATTTCATGTGTCTTAACCATAGGCAGAATGCTTTTGTTTATTGACTGGATTCTTTTGCAGGTTAAAAACCCTTGGCCAAATGTTGATGCCCACAGTGGTGTGTTGTTGAACTATTATGGTTTAACTGAAGCAAGGTATTACAGATTCATATTGCTCACATAATTGAGTGGTTGTAAATGGCTCTGGATACTGATGTCTTATTCCTTTCATTTTTTGTACAGATATTATACGGTCCTCTTTGGTGTATCAAGAGCTCTTGGCATTTGCTCTCAGGTACTTTCTACGGCAGTTACTTTTTTTTTTTGGGGGTGCCTTCTCTAGTCCTCCGTTGACTTCCCTTGAAATTTTACTGATACTTCTTTTTGATCTTTACAGCTAATTTGGGACCGAGCTCTTGGATTGCCACTAGAGAGGCCAAAGAGTGTCACAATGGAGTGGCTTGAGAACCATTGCAAGAAAGCATGATTTGTTTGAAATCTCTGCGAGCATAAAAGCACAATGTAAAATCTTTATGAATAATTGCTTGAGAAAGCAGTTTTTTCTTGGAGCCAAGGTAGGTCGCATTAGGAGTGTTCATCGATTGGCTTAGTACGGTTTTGAAAGATTTTGGTTGTGTATTTTCAGTTTCGGTTTTAAAAATGTTATACCAATACCTTATCGATATAAATTCAATATGATTCGATTTTTTACTTTTGTTTGATTTTTGCGATTCCATAACTTTGGTATTACTCTTTCCCAATTGTGGTTCTTTTGTCAAAATTATAGACCAGGTATTTAATCAAGACTAGTCTTAGGGTATGCGTTTTGCAAATGTTTCCTATATCAATAAATATACCTTCTTAAAATATTAAAATAAGCAACATTAAACAAAGTGAATGAAATACAAAATAAAAAATGAGTTCCTAAAATTGATAGAATGTTAATTTCACTTTAGCTAGTTCAACAAAAGAAGAAATTATGCATTATAAAAGATCTTAAAATTATGTGAAATATTTTATAAAAATTGCTATTATTTTTGTATCTAATATCGAAAATAAAAAGGTAATACAAAAATACTTACCACAATTCATTAAAGATTCGGCAACTAACACAAATTTCGAAATATAATCTCTTGGTTTTCTTTAGATTGGGGAATGACATGTTTGCCTTATGGCTCTTAAAAAATGGTACACGTGGCTAAAGTCTAAGAACGATTAATATTAAATTAATATTTTACAACAAATAACTAAAACATTAAAAAAGTATAGGGAGTTCAATTTATTAGGAATGTTTACAAACAAAAAAAAGGAAAATAATTAATGACATCTCATATAGTGTTAAGAAACTAAACTCAAAGTAACAATATAGAACAAGAAAAACAAGCTAAGAAACATAGAGAGAAAGATATGAGAGATTCTTATTTCTTCCACGTATTTAAGTGTGTACAATGTGATGCCCAAACCCTCTATTTATAGGATGATATCTAGGTAATACAAAGGGATGCCATGAACATGGTATTAATTATTGATCATGGTAATATTGGAGTTACAACCATAATGGTAAGAATTAATGAGAGATTAATAGAGAACAGTAGTGGGCGTTACTCCCTTAGGAGTTATTGACATCCACCTTAATCAAGTGTTTCATAACATATAAAATATAATTTGTCTTCTACTGTTTCATTTTTATTGTTTCAAGCTTATATTTTACTGATTTGACTTTTAATATTACACAATAACTAATTTTACTCTATTTATTATTCTTTCACCGTTAATGCACTTCTTATGGAATAAATATATGTATTCTATGAGCTTTTCCAAAATACTTTTAATTATATGTTAATTTTGGGGGGAAAATGAATTGCATCCTTTTGTTACTTAGCTAATTCAATTATTTAATTATATATTTTAAACATTAAAACAATATTTTTTTTATTTAAAGCTGTTAATATTTAGCTATAATTATAATTTGGGATAATTTCGAAAACTTCCCTCCAAGATTCTCTTTATAACACAAATTTCTACTGCAGTTTGAGAATTACGCTTACCTCTCTTATTTTTATTTTTTATAAAAAAACACAATTCACATGATAAAATCTAATATCATCTATGTAGTGTTCCAAATTGCCCTCAAAGGTCTTCCATATTAAATATAATAATTTAGTAACACAAAATTCTTTATATGACTAAAAATAAAAGTATTTGTATTTAAAAAATGATTAAACTGGGATTACAACCCTTTCATCTCATGCTCGAAATCTAACATGTTCCATGATTCATCTTGCATATTTATTTATCTAAGCTGAATATTGATCTTTAGAAATGAGATAAATTAATCTTCTTTTTATTTGATTATTCATTTCAATTTATTTATTAATATTATAAAATTTATTAATGTATGATGAAAATTTAAACCCTCGATTTTACTCTGCAAATGTATATTAAAATCCAGATACTTAAAATATGTCATATTATAAAAGATATTAGAAGAAAAATAGCCCAAAAAGTTGTAAAAAACTAAAGCAAACATTTCAAACTCAATCTTATAATTGAGTCCTACATTTACGTAGGACATGTGAAAAAATACTTAGACAAGCTTGTCGAAAAATAACTAATATCATTTAAAATTTCAAGAGAAAATTCAATTAGCAGAAAAAATACAATTAGTGTTCTTTAATTTTTATTAATAATTCGATGTTTTTTTATTAATTTTGCCAAATATAATGAGTAGTTTATTTTTTGTTATATATAGTTTATGTGTGCCTATTTTTAGTAGCTTCAAAGTAGTGCTTATCTGTCACATCCCAAACTACCCCCTAGACGTGACTGGTACCCAGCTAACACTACCTGCCAGGCGAACCTCTTTCTCTAACGTTTAACCATTTACACAAACACTGAGAAAAAAGTACAGGCCTAAAGTATTATTAATAATTAAAGAGATAATGATTATCACTCAATACTTTAGTCAATTGATAGAAAAACCAACAATCACTCAAATAATAAAACTCTAGCTCAAATCCCACACTAAGACCATGGAGCATCTAACAGAGTAATATGTGTTTTATTGACGGGTATGCAAACCGACAAAAAAAGAAGAAGTAACTAACACGAACTAAGCAAGTCTGAAACGAAAGCCTCCACGAACAATGTGGTGGCTCACCTCAGCAATAAGATCCACTCGAACAAACTCGTCGGCCACTAGCTCTATCTCCCGCAACGGTATCTGCATAGAGATGCAGGTAAGGAGTGAGTTATACGTAAATATAACCCAGTAAGATCCTCGACTCGCCACTTTAAATACCTCTGGAACAAGTGTTAGAAAATACAAACACACTACAACCCGAATGATATAGTAAATATGATAATTATATAATAACTTAATATATGTGTATCAACAGAATTATTAAGAATTAACCAACAAGGATACCCACTAAGGACTTATCATAATTGCAGTGAAAGAAATTTACCAACACACCAGGAGTCCACGACAACACCACAATGCCTCAAATATGTAATAGAGCATACACAATGCTCGGGTGATGTACAAAGGCATACACAATGCCCCAACATCATGGCGCACAGCCGTATCAAACTCAACATCATGGCGCACACCCGTATCAAACTCAACATCATGGAGCACAACCCTATCAAACTCAATATCATGGCGCACAGCCGTATTAAACTCAACATCATGGCGCACAGTCGTATCAAACTCAACATCATGGCGCACAGTCATCTCAACATCATGGCGCACAGCCGTATCAAACTCAACATCATGGCGCACAGCTGTATCAAACTCAACATCATAGCGCACAACTGTATCAAACTCAATATCATGGAGCACAACCGTATTAAACTCAACATCATGGCGCACAGCCGTATCAAACTAAATATCATGGCGCACAACCATATCAAACTCAACATCATGGCACACAGCGTATCAAACTCGATGTTATGGCGCACAGCCGTATCAAACTATAAAACTCAACCTCATGGCGCACAGCCGTATAACACTATCAAACAACTTATAAAATAATTTTTTATTTCTTTCATAAAATAATATGTTTGCGGCTAGTCTAAGACCATCGACTCTACCAAGCGCACGCTTGTCCCAACACATGGACCAGGCAGAGAAAACACACTTCCAAAATGGGTCTTAGAAAAGTAAGTATCAAAGCTTAAAGTCTCACTTACCTCGCTAACGAGAAGTTCTCCAACCTTGCAATGTCTAAGACACCAACCAAACGGCCTCCAATGGCCTCAATCTATCCAAAATATTGAATAATATGTCCTAAATAGTCTAGATGAATAATTTTTCATAATCTTACGACAGAGTCAAAATCAAAGCCAACCCCCAATCCAACTAATAAATAATTGTACACAAACATATGCTGACAGTAGTATTTCGAAAGTGCCGAAACCGTAGTAGCTTCAGAAAACTATACCATAACTTATACTACCATATGATTTTTTCACTTTCTCATTACCCTCATCATTACATCATGATTGAAAGTTATACTCTATGTACTAAATGATAAAAAAGTCCACAACTGTAGCTTTTTTAAATATGTTCAATTTCACAAGCAGTACATTTTTTTTATAGTTTCCATATCTCACATCTATCCTTTACAAGCTAATAACCATTACATCATTATTATTATTTTCCAACAACATCATACGGTCATCATTACACATCTTTCTCTCAAAAATACATATGTTTCTAGTTGTGTCCATATTTTAACTTTGCCGCTGTGATTTCACAATTTACAGAATATCTAAGCACATGCTATGTCGAAATCTAGTCATTTACTCTATGATATTGGACGAATCTCGAAATACCTGAAGCTCACACGATGATAGTTTTTATCGCCGCCGCCAACGAATCCTCAGAAGATCAGCTTGCTTCTCTTTTTCTTTTTTTTCATCAAGAGCAAGGAACTAATTACCCAAATTTTCTACTCTTTAGGTCACTAAAAATGTGGCAGCCATAAGATAATGGGCTTAGCCCACTCCGATTTATTTAATAAATAACCAAAGTCAACTATATAAGTGTAGTTTAAAATTTTTAACCACTAACCACTTATTTAGTATCATATCTCATATAGGAACAAAATTTCCTTCCACAACTTAATATTTGACCCCAATATCTACAAATTAAATTAGTTCTCCAATCTCCTAATTAATAGGTGTATAAAATATTTCGGATTACTACATTATCTGACGGAAAAAGGTAGTACAAATATGAATTCTTAATTTCTAAGTTTTGAATGATTGAAAAATAATACGTAATCTAAATAAAATAAAAATTTAATTACTTTTAGAATCCTAAGTATCAGGATTCTCTACATAATTTAAATATGGTAAAATTTAATGATTAGAATTATAGGTTATTTCAATGTCCCATATATTAGGAAAATAATTAAATGATAATTCTTTCATATTAGGAAAAATTTTAAATTACTATTTTATCCAGTGTGAACTCTATTTTTAAAGGGTAAAAAAGGTGAACGACATTTCGCTAAGTGCGATACGCGCGTTGCGCGTGCGATACGCGCATTGCGCGTGTATCCTATCTAAGTGGGTTATTTTTAATAATTAATCATATTAATATTATATTAAAAATTATATTTGAGTTATTTTAAATAAAAGTGTATGTTCCTAAAATTGAGAAATATTAATCCTACATACCTAATTTATAAGGGAAGACATTGTCACATAAAAATAAAAAATATCAGTCATATACAAATAGTGAAGAGGTTTAAAAGAAATAAAGAGATCATTTACCAAAAACAATTTTTTTTGCAGGGGAGGGGGTGCTAATTCCTATATTAAATCTTAGATTTTTATTATGAAAATTTTCATCTCTATATTCTCCATCAATAATTTTTCACATTATGTGAGTATACTCACATATATATGCATCCTAATTAAGTGATTGTGGTTTCTGAATTCTTTCCTTTCATTTTTAAAGAAACACCACCTTAAAATCTTAACATTCAATCATTGAGTAATTACGTAATTATGTATGTTGTAATTGCTTTTATTGAAGAATAAAATGTTAGTTCATGAATAATACTTGCCAACTTAAGGTTCTCACATGATACAAACTTCTTGGCAAGTTGTTAATTTAAAAAATTCAAGCAATGCCAAGATTTTGCTAATTTACCAAGATTTGGAGTAGCCATTTTTAGTTGACTTTAAGTTCTTAGATATTAGTTAGCATTAAAATACCTTTTAAAGAAGAAATCTAATTAGTTATATAAATTATAATTACAATTTTGTCTGACATGAAGCATATTGTCAAAGCGCAAAAAGTTAATTAATTTATTATGTATAGGTTTCTTGTTCTTAAAATAATATAATTATAAATAAATATAAGCAATAGATAAATATGAAAGTTTTTTGTTGATTAATTTATTTTTAAAAATATTAAATTAAATTGCTAAAAAGTTAATTTGCCAAAAGCTGTAAATTATAAACTCCGTCCAATATTTACTTATTTATCCTACTTACCATATATCAATATTTTAAAAAATGGGGTCAAAATTGTCATTCATGGACGTGCTCTCTTGATCTATGCAAGATAACGTACTATTTATTCATGAATTTCAGTTGACCTAACACATAACCTTTATTAATTCTTTTAGAAAAATAAAGGACTCCTAAACCTAAAAGAAATTGAAAATGAGCAAAATATCTAATGTGATTTTCATGTGTTATTTCTTTTTAAACAAAAATATTAGATTATGCAATTCAAATAAGAAAGAATTTTAATACATAAATTGAATCTAAAGTCTAAAATATTAGAAAAAATAATTAGATGTTTATTCTTAATATTAAAAAATAATTAAATGACTATTAAATTAACCGAAGTCTGTAAGATGTCTGATATGAAATCAACCAATCCAAATTCAAAGTAAGAAACAAAGAATTATATAAAAGTTAACAAAATTTTGTAAAATAAAGAGCATATAAATTCAATTACCTTATACTTTAAACTAAAACCATTGTTGAAAGAAAACTTTCACATGATAGGTTATATAATACATTATTCATGTAACAGATGCCAATAAATATTGTATACAAGTGAAAGACTAGGTATAATGCAAATTGCTTTGGTATATGTTCAAAGTTCTAATCAAATACTTGAATGAAAAATCAATTACTAATATAAAGTTTATAAATATATTCACACAAAATTCAATTATTAATATAAATATATTCACACAAAATTCAAGCACTAATACAAAACTATTCTCAAAGAAAGAGAACCTAGAACCGTTATATACTATAAAAATTAGTTTGTCATAACTTTCCTAGTGTGTGAACTTTCCTACGAAACTTTCCTTGTTTGTGTGAATTAGGCCAAATTTTATTAACTAAAAAAGACCCCTAAACTTAAAAGGAGATAGAATGTAAATGGAGTTTAACGAAAAGCTCTCCTAATGTGTATGAGTTAAATGAAAGTATTTCCTTGTGTATTTGTATGATTTTTTTCCCCTAAATTGCGGGAAGTAATTAATTAGGGGAATAATTTATGGATATAATAAATGAGCATTCCTATATAGTACAGCAGTAATTAGATGACTATTTCGAAATATTAGGAAAATAATTAAATGACTATTTTGTTCGGTGTGAATACTAATTTTAAAGGGTAAAAAAAACGAACGACATTTCGCTAAGGGCCTTCGTGCTTTTAATATAGTATAGATATATAGATAGATAGATTCGTATTCTTACTTTTTGTGCACATAGACAAAGGGCTTTATTTAAGAGTTTATTAATAAATCTGTAACTGTAAACAAAGAGAAACAAAAAAACTACTAGTTTGTTGCCTGCAAACTAGTGTATACTCTTGTTTTTTCCCCCCTTCAAATCACAAACCAAAAATTTTGTGATGTATCCTGTAGGTTGTAACGATATACTTGAGATTTAGGAGGTAGATTTTGAATAACAAATGATGAATATTTAAGATAATCCATAATAATAGAATAAAAAATGAGCACAAATATCCTCCTTCAAAATAGTTTTGATGTTCAAGTAGTAATCCCCCCCCAAAAAAAAAATCATTAGTTTTACGCCTTCAATTCAATGTCATATCCTAGCAATAACCGAGTGCAAAGAAAGGATCTTAATAATTAGTATTCTGACTTTCGTGCACATAGACAAAGGGATTTTATTTATGAGTTTATAAATTGATCATTAACGGCAACAAAAGAGTCGAACCAAAAACTACATACTAGTTTTTAGTTTGGGCTGTTTTGTTTTTAAATTAATGCAAGACATTGCATAAAATGAAGGATACAAGAATTAACTTGCATCCCCTACCTAATTTTGAACACCTTTGACCACTAGACTACCCCTAATATTATGTGAAAAGTGTTCTAATTCACTATATATAGAGTACTCCCCAGTCCCAATTTACGTAACACTCTTTCCTTTTTAGTCGATCACAAAAAGAATGATACCTTTTTATATTTAGTAACAATTTAACTTTTAAAATTTTTATTTTTAATCTTAATGGGATGATTTCTAGCCATACAAATTTATATTGTTTGTTTTAGATCATAAATTTTAAAAGAAAGCAGCATTTAACCTACATACACAACATGATTTTTTGTCAAAGGGTATTCGCGTGACCACCTTCAGTAATATTGTATCTTCGCCATTTATTCTTTGACCAGAACTAACAATATCCATTAATGGAAAAAGTCTCGAGTTTAAACTTATCTGACGCCGCTCAATTAACGTTGTAGGTTCTCGATAAGACTGACTCAAGCCTACAGTTAGTAACGCAATTGCTTTAAAACTCAAAAATAATCGCATAGCTCATTGTTTTAACTCTTTATCGAACAAGCTCTCGACACATGGAATATCTAATTATCACTAGTCAAATGGCAGAAGGTTTTTGCTACAAAACAAACTTTGCTTTAAAAGATGGCTTTTATTAACAATGGAAGTTCTCCCACGATTTCTTTCAATTTAATTTAATTATATTTCCTGACGGTATAAATTAATTTGAGTTAATCTATTGTAGTAGTATGTTATCTATCTTATTTTACGTATTTACTAATTCAACTAAAGAATATTCAACTTATTATAGTCAATTACATGTTGTTGACTTTTAGGTAATTAATATAATAATGTAAAAGTTCTTTCACAATGTCATCTTGGTATAAAAGTTAAACTAATTAACTTCCTTTATCGACAACCAGATTACTAGGATAAAACAAGTTCCTTTGACAAGAATATATATCTGCCTAAATTGTTTTATGAAAAGCTTAATACAAATTATTCGCTTCAAGCATATGGATCCACAAACACGTACTTTTAAGAATTAATTAATTCCATATCAAGGCCAACGTCCCTTTTAATTCTACAGATTGATTCTATAACTTATTCACGTTAGTATCATATTCCTTAAAATAGTTTATGTGTGATAAATGCTCAAAAATAAATAAATATAAGATATCTCTGATTAATGTAATATTTCTTCATTATGTGTTTTCCGTTTTCAAACCGGAAACCGAAAAAAAGAGCAGTGATGAATAATTTTAATTTTAAGCGTGCGCACAGAGAAATAGCCAAACAGAATATATACGATGTGAATAGCAAATAAAGTAGTCACCGACGAGGTTATGGTGGAGTGGTAAGTACTTCTTCATTATTAACCAGAGGTCTCGGGTTCTAACTATGGATATGGAGTTGTCTTTGTTAGAGACCGCTTTACTCCCAATATGAGACTTCTCAGCGCAAATTCGAATTTAATCGAACTTCAATACGAATAATGGACACTAAGTGGGAAATAAAAGAGCAAATAAATAGTCATGACGTACGAAAGCACTTTGTCGTAATCATCTTGTTAATAACATAATTAATCGTGAGGTTGTCAGAGGCGGATCCAGGATTTAAAGTATATGAGTTCCTGCCATATTCTCAAATTAATATACAATAATAACTGGGTTCACAGTT